TGGAGCCAGGTCTAGGTGCTTGTAGCCGCGCAAGTGGCGGTGTGGCCAGTGCCTCGGGTGGTGGTGCTGCCTGTTCGGCAGGAGCCGGAGGTTCCTGTCCATGGTTGTCGGGCAGCTTCCATGGTTTGGCAAGCTTGAATTTGCCAGGCGCCCGTGAGTGACCAGGCTTGTTCTGGCCGTAATTCTTCTTTCAGCTAAGACGCTCCCAGTGGTGATCCTCCTTGCCGTACCACCTACAATGCTTGGGGTCTCTGTCACGTGGGTGGGGGGGGGGGGGTATGTTTACGTTATCCGCGCATGCAGGACATCCTGATCCTCCCGAGGGTGGTCGTTTAGGGTGCCGTTTGATCGAACCGTCGGGATGTCGAGGGATAGTTGGGTCATCTAAGTCAAATCCTCGTGTGTTGGTAACAAGAACGGAAGAACAATAAGGATGACCATGGAAAGGATCACGGTTCACTAGGAATAGATAGTGTGCGATCTCGACTGCGTCGACAAAAAGGGACTGCATCTTCGGAGTACATTGTGCAGCCCTGGATAATTTATATTGCGCACCGAAACATGTTGATGATGGCCAGTGCACCGCTTCCGTTCAAAAAGTTCAAGTAGGAGACGATGGTTAGCCATTACCTCAGTAGGTTTACGTATGAATACCACATGGGAGTCACGGGGGCCAGTAGGACAGTGGTCCATATACACTTTGCAAGTGCCCTCGCATGTGGCCAATGTTGTCCATGGCGGTATTTTGTCCACCCAAGTACCCATCGGTTGTTCTCGTAGATAGAGCCGTCGGAGGTCATTTTGACGTATGGCAACCTTCCCACAAAACTTGAAATGTGGAAGGTCTTCTTCATGGTGTTCATGCGACGTTTCATAGTTGACGTGGGAAGTGAAGTGAGATGGTAGTCCAGTCGTTCTGCAGTTGGGTTGTAGTATAACAACACTGACGAAACGGGCGTCCAAGCAATGCATCACTGCGTCCTGGACATCCTTGTTTCAAAGGTCAACGTGCGAACGTATGTCTAGGTTTCGTCCCGAGGATAGATTTCGGCCGAATGTTAACTGCGATATCCCCCCGCTTCCTCCACACTATTCCAACATATCTACCTTGTTGTGTCGTCCGTAACATAAGGTCGGGATCGTGGAGTACACATCGGCATGTGTATCCGCAGGTGACCCCGCAGGTAACATGATGAAAGTTCCCGCTTCGTCATCATTGTCGGTGTCGGAGTCGAGGGGGACGCCGGTGTAGTAGGCTCCACATCTGAGACCTTTCAGGTCTTCGCCGCAGTCATCATTGCCGTCTTCGACTACTCTAGGTATCTTGCGTGGCTTGATGCCCGCTTCTTTGTCTTTTTTTTTGCTTTTCTTTCTGTTTGATCTGGGCATCTGTTGGTGCTGCTGTCTATTGTTCTGTGTCGGGTGAAGTAAGCGTCGGAAATTTCGGGAACAGGGGGGGGCACGCGGCCGCGCTCAACCGAGGGGGGGGGGGGAGCGATCGTCACCGACGAACGCAACCCGCCTTGGGCGTGGTCGCTGGCCCTCCTGTCCAATAAGGACTGGCGTCGGAGGCTCCCAGTGCAATCGAGTACGGATATTTGTCACATCATTCGGTAACGGCGCAATGCAAGTGTACCCGATAGGTTGGTCCTGAATCTAAGTATATTGTATAACAGTGTTGTCGTCAAGATTCAATCGTCACCCTTCTCACGACATGGTCCCAATCAGGGCCATTCTTAGGATGCTGAACGTGAGTTCGAGCTCCTTGATCCACCCTTGTGTCGGCGCTAAATTGTACAGCGCTTGTATACTTTCATTCTGTTTTGTGCGCATCTATTTGGTCAATTAGCCTTGCAGTCATAATGGCAAGTGCTTTGTTGCGCCATTCTGCCTTCTGAGCGCCTTGGCCATGCCAATCCAATTCATGCTCATCATATTGTGCGGGTCTCCCTGCAGTTTGGCATGTGCATCTCCGCAAGTTAGTCGGGATGCGCGTGCAGGTCGTCGCCGCCTGCAGGTCGGATCCGCTAGGTGTTTTGCATGAGCGGTCGAACTTTAGACCCAGGTGGCAACATCGCATACGCATGACCTGCAAGCCTAAATCTTCAATGGTATCTCGTATGGGACCTTGCTTCCAGAAGTAACCTGGAGGTCCCAAAAGTACTATCGACATACGTGAAGCCCGAGCTTTGGACATCAGATTTTGGATGTGTTGATAATGTGGTCCCGCCCGCTTTCCAGGCAACCGAGCGTGCCAGTCAGCGGGCGTTGCCACCCACGGTAGTTGGTAATCCCCCGAGAGTAATCCACCCAAATGCTGTGTACCTGTAGAGGTCATAGCCTCAGTGTGTGATGCGATCTCACATGTATCCTCGAGCTCGGAGTTCAGCGCAGGCTGTTCGTATGTCTTCGATAATAAGAGCACGAGAGTGATAATGATGTGCTGAAGGTTTATATGCTGCGGCGGCCACGCAGCCGGGTCCACCGCTGTCTCTGGCGGCCTCGCAGCCGGGCCCGCCATTGTCCCTGGCGCGCACGGCCGGCGCCTGGGAAAGTATGCAGGTGCCCCCGCGCCTGACGACAGAACCCCAGTGTTCGGCCCGTCTGGGCAAACGCGAGTGGCCGCGGCACCCTTCATTCTCAAGAGATGGGGGCGTCCAAATGCCCGTGCCATGCGTCGCTGAGCCACTGCTCGAAGTGAAGATAAGACTTCTCAGCAGTGGCATCTGCTCCTGCAGGTGTCCCTGCATTTGCTCCGGCGGGTGTCCCTGCAGCGTTGTCGGGCGGCATCCACTTGCTGCCCTCCTCGTATATGGCCTGGTATACCTTCGCCTGCAAATTGCGCAGGGCGAAGTCCTAATCGGCCGGCGTAGGAACATTCCCATAGGTCGTGTTCCTGCGATGCCGAGTCTTGAGGGTGTTGTTCACCAAGGACTGGATCGTGTAAGCAAATGTCACCTCATTGATGGAGAAGCGACTGCCCCTGGTGTCGTGAGACATCATGTACGTGTGGGCATCGCTGGTAGCGGGTGTCCCCGCACTGCTCGATGCAGGTTGCCCTGCTGTTGGCTCTGCATCTGTTGCCTCCTTGACGAGCAAGGGTGCATCTTCGCAGTGAGGATTGGCTGTTATAGTGAATGCCGTTGAGCCATTCTCCTCCGTTGCGACCCCGTACTCGTCGACCTTGATCGCCGGGTGCCCTGGGGGCGTCTTCATCAGATCGAGTACTCTGGCGCCTTTTCCAAGGAGGAGCGTATCTCTGAGCCTGGAATTATCATCTTCTCGTGTCCCTGCTCCAGGATCAAGATAGTCCTCATGTTGGACGTGCTCCTTAGACCCAGGATGGCAGGAATCTTCTCGTCGGAACCTTCAGCAGCGTTGGCCGACTAGGTGTCCAGCCTGGCCATAGCGGGTTTCCCCGCAGGATGATCTCCTTTCTCCTTGCATGCGATTTTGCAGTGGAGTGATTTGTCGCAGATGGCGTCGCCATGCCCCACACCAGACACGTACAACCTCTTCGTTAAGTTCAGCCTCTTGATGTCGTGTCCATGGGAGCGTGACACACGCTCGGATGTCTGTGCAATCTTTAGAACAATGATCTTGATGTTGCTGCCGATGTCCAGTAGGATAGTCAGCGTGCCATCTACCATGGTCTCACTGTTCGCTGCCAGGGCCAGCTCATGGCGATCTCCGAATATCCCTGGCACGTCGGACAGTGTCGTGCCATGCAAGCCCTTACGGCGTCTCTGTTCCCGCACTCATTCGTTCCTTGTCAAGGATGTGAAGACGTTCGTGTGCCCTCGTGCCTCTTCTTCCGTGATGGGCTGTCCCTGGAAGATACAGGCCGATGGATACTCGTCGTGCATATGGGGATGCCGTGGCGAGAGCGGCATGTTCTCGACAGCGTCCTCATCGGCACGCATCCATCAGCACCGTGTGCAACATATCGGTTCCAGGGTCGAATCGCCCCCACTGCGTTTGTGTTCCACATTTTTCGGTTGCCTATTCCTTTTCGTTTTTTGGGTCTGGGGCGTTCGTTTTTTTTTGGGGGGGTGGGGTGGGCGGGGCTCTATCTGAATCGTTTGCGGTTCCGTTTGCGTGCGGGTTTCTCGTGCGCCTGTGGGGCATGGCCAGCAGTGCGCCTGGGGCCTTGAGAGAGTGGGGAGGCGCCGATTGGTTCTGATTTCGATTGTGCGACCCTCGCACAATCAGATGCGTGACCAGGGGGGCGGTTTGCAACCTTGGGGGGGGTGGGGGGGGGGGGGGGGGGAGGGGGGGGGGGGGGGGGTCAAACAAACGTTGAAATTCCAGCGTTTTTTTTTTTTTTTTTTTTTTTTTTTTTTTTTTTGTCGGGGGGGTCCTCTTTTTTCGTTTTGTATGTTTTTTTCTCCACGAAAAGAAGCGCCACGCTCCTTTCCTCCCCCTTCCCCCTTGCGACGGCCGCCTTGTTGCACCCTCCCTATTTCGCAGCATTCCAATCGCATTGCGTTGCAATCGGACAGATCACCGCGCCTGTTACAAGAACAACCACGGCGTCCCTGGCTGGCGGTGGATGGGGCCCTTGTTACGACGACTCGTGCGCGGAAGGCCAGGGCGAGGAGAAGCGCGTCGGCGCGGCGGGTTTCTTTGATGGTGCAGACGGAGCCAACTGGATGGGCAAACTGGACGTCATGGTAACTTGGGTCCTCGGTTGTGAGTACGGCAAGATCGTAGAGGAGGAGAGAGAGAGAGAGAGAGAGAGAGAGAGAGAGAGAGAGAGAGGGAGAGAGAGAGATATATATATAGAGAGAGAGAGAGAAACAAAAAAGAGAGAGAGAGAGAGAGAGAGAGGGAGCGCGCCTCCCACCAGACCATCGATCGCTGGATCGACGACTTCCAGAGGGCCGCCTGCAATCACGTCGACGACAACCCCGTGGCCTTCGAGACAAAGTTCCGCGGGCGGGCCGCGGCCGCGAAGAAGGGGGGCTGCGGGTCAAGGAAGCCCCCCCCAGAAACGGCCCATGAAGAAGAAGGCCCCCGTGAAGTCAAAGATCGGGAAGCAGGCTCAAAGGAACGCGGCGCGCAAGAAGCGGGTGATCATGGGCGATGAGACGTTTCTCAACAAGGGGAAGAGGAGCAAACTCAACAAGAACGCTCGGCCAAAAAAGGATCAGGTCTGGCTGTGGGGGGCCGTGCTATAAGAAGACCCTAACGCCTTTATCTCTTTCGCGTGCTGGGCCATCCCGAGGGCGCCCTGGGCGGCCGCCCCCGCGGCGCGAAGGAGATGGCTATGGACCTCAGGCTGATCGGGCTCAGGAAGGGCGACCTTTTCGCGAGCGATGAGTGGGGTGGGTGGGTGGGTGTGTGGGGGTGGGGGGGGGGGGGGGGCGCCGGGGCGGCCGCGAAGAAGATCCGCGCGGAGAATGGCTGGCCGCTCAACAAGCCCCCGCGCGAGATCGTGAATCAGAGAGAGAGGGGGGGAGAGAGAGAGAGAGAGAGAGAGAGAGAGAGAGAGAGAGAGAGAGAGAGAGAAGAGAGAGAGAGAGAGAGAGAGAGAGAGAGAGAGATAGAGAGAGAGAGAGAGAGAGAGAGAGAGAGAGAGAGGGAGAGAGAGAGAGAGAGAGAAAGAGAGAGAGAGAGAGAGAGAGAGAGAGAGAGAGAGGAAAAAACAAGAGAGGGGGGATTGCCAACTCCAAGGGCTACTCCACGAACGCCATCGAGGCGAAGTGGAGCGTCGTGAAGCGTTGGGTCCGCTCCAAGTACGGCGGCCGCCTTCCCCGGCACAACGACCGCCGCAAGTGGAGGGTGTTGCTGCAGGAGTTCCAGTGCAGGCAGAAGTGCGGGACTCACACGCGCGACTTCGGCAACTCCTACAAGGCCCCCCTCAAAGTCTTCCTCGCCCACATCGCTGAGCACTGAGCGCATGCTCGGCGCCCGCCGCTGAGTGGGGGGCGACTTTTTTTCCAGTTCGGCCGGCTTTCCCCAGTGCGCCCACTTCGGCAGAGCCAGTTCTGCGACGGTGCGATCCCCTGTCAGGCTTATTCGCAGCCGCGGCCTTCGTGGTACTTCGCGGGGCCCAGCGCTCAGTCGACCGCCGAGTCGTGTGCGCTACCTCGCTACCTCCTGCGCCCACCAGTTGATAGCCGCGGCCTTCGTGGCATTTCGCGGGGTCCAGAGCTCAGTCGACCGCCGAGTCGTGTATACTACCCCGCCACCTCCTGCGCTCACCGCTTGATAGCCGCGGCCCTCGCGGTAGTTCGCGGGGCCTTGCGCTCAGGTGACCGCAGTGATGTGAACAATGCGTCGACGCTTCACATGCGCGATCGCTCGATCTTGCCATGAAGAAAAGAAACAAATCGGAGCCCAAGGACACTTCGAGGGGGTGGTATAGTTTGGCATTGTGAGTATCCCGCATCGAATCCACAAGCATGCAAAAGGCTCATCCAACCCAGGAACAAGCAAAAAAAATGCAGGGGGGCGATTCGATCCTTGAACCCAGCATATCGCGCTCTGGTATGGCGCTGGTGCCGCTGCGCACGCTCGCTGGGCTTTCAGCTCTACGCTGGCGCAGCGGGCGCCCATGGGGCATGCTGCCGTATGGTGCTTGGAGCCACTGCGAGCTCCTTTCAGTAGCCCTTTCCATGCGCCTCAGGCACGGGTCATTGGCAGGTAACCCCGCTGGTGCTGCTGCAGCAGGTGTCCCTGCATTAGCTGCTGATTCGGCCACCAGAGGCATAGGCGCATCTGTGGCAGGCGTTCTAGCTACTGCAGCCTGTGCCACATCTGATGATGACGCAGGTTGCCCCGCAGATGTAAATGCGGCCCCAGCGGCGACTGTATTGCTTGTCGTCATCGCCGTGATGCGGTTGAGCTCTTCACGAAGATCTCTAAGCTCCTGGGCCCCGCGGAGTATCTCTTCATGGCGATTTTCTGCGTTCTGATCTCCAGCGAGGGCATAATGAAACCCAGCTGTAATGAGGCCGACACCCCGGCAAAGAGCACAGGGTGCCTCACTTGCGGCACCTTCCAGGGTGCATGCCAACTGTCGGTCCACATGTGCGCGAGCAACTCGATCCCAGCATTGCGCGTGGAATCTACGGCCACACTGAAGCCTCCGCACCTTGTCGTGGTGTACGAAGTTACCCAGGCAAATGGCGCACTTGGTAAAATCACCATCGCTGATGATTGGTAGTGTCGCCGATGGCCTGATGCGCGTCTGTCGCTCGAGTGTGAATTCTCCAATATCGTATTGAATCGGTGGGACTGTTATCTGCTGTGCTGCAGGAAGTGACCCCGTGGCTGCATTTTCTGCCAAGCTGAAAGCGGGGGTTGCCCCGCAGATGCAGGAGTAGCGGGCGTCCCCGCGCGGCCCATCATGCGGCGTGCCTGTCGCTCATGATTACGGCGCTTGCGAGCAACAGCTCTGTGGTGAAGTTGGCCTGCTGCGCCTCGTGGATGGCCAGAATCTCGGGGCGCAGCTCTCCCATGGACGATGGTAACACTAACCCGGGGCCATGGTGCGTGACATCGGGGTCCATGGAGGCCGCCGAGTATCCGCAGTGAGGTACTTGGCCTGGTACTCTGGGTTCGTACCTGGCACCGCGCGTCAGCTGGGACTGGTGAGAGTCGCCAGCTTGTGCCCGAACGTACGGGTTGCCCGGCTGAGAGCCAATGCGTGGAATGCCCGTCTCCTGAGCGTAATAGTCGAGGAACATCGGTGCATCCATCGGTGGAGCAATTGGTCGTTCAACAGCCGTTGGATCGTGCGTCGGGTGGCTGAAGAATGCTGGAACGTACCCATATCGGTTGGGATGATCCGGTGATGGGTTCGGATCAGGAATATATTCCCATGGGGGTGTCCAGCCAGCGTTCGGGAGGTCAATGCCATCCCGGCACATGCTCTGCGTGGCCTCGCGCATCTGTCTGTGCACCCACTGCGGCTGACCTGTCAAGCTCTCAGCCCTCTGGGCAGCTTTATGGTCAGAAACAGCAGGTTGACCTGCAGTTGGACGTGGCGACGCGAATCGCGATGTCGCTTGCAAGGCCTGACAGAGCTGAGGGTCCATTCTGGTGCTCTGGGGCCTGGCCTGCAGACTATTGGTGCTCCCAGCACTCTGTGGAGTTCCAAATGGGGTCGTAGCCCTACTCATGGGTGAGAATGACGCAGCTTGCCCTGCAGGTGCTGGCAACGGCTGCGCCTGGGCGCGCCACAAGTCGTTTGCATGCAGCCCGTCGTTGGGCGTGATCCCGTTGGATGTCATGCCGGACAAGTCCGCGCTCTGGGCCTGGATCCATGATCCAGCTGAGCCCACTGCAGGTGCCCCTTCTTGGTATGCCTCTTGCATCGTGAAGATAGCGTTGAATTCGACCCCTTGCATGGGTGTCGACGTAGGGGCCTTCAGATTATAGGGAGTCTGCGGTACCATCCAATTTTCTAGCGTTGAGGCATCATATGGAACGTTGTAGGAGGACAGTGGAAGAAAATTGTTAGCACGCAGGTTGCCCCGCTGGTTGTCCTCTAAGCCACGCCTGTCCAACTCGATCATGTGCGCACTGAGTGCTGATCGGCAGGATGCCAATTAGCTGAACAATATGGCTTTGCGGGATCCTGCCGTTTCGGCCTGCCGTCATAATAATATCGTTGGCGGAGCGCCAAACTGGGATATTATAGCGAAATCGATTCTTGAGGCCCACCATGACCAATACTTCGGAAACTGTGCGCAAGCCTGACTGGATCCTGTCATCTCCAGGTAGGTATGGGCATCCATGAATAAATTGTCTGCCCCTTCCGTTGTTTGTATGACTACCGCGGCATGACAGCCCGACAGGGAATATTTTCGGGATATTGACCCATTTTGTGCCATGTATAAAATAGCAGGGTGCTCCTGGTGTTGTTAGGTCTGTTACCCTTTTGTACTTGGGCTCTGGACATCGCATGCCAGGGCTGCAATGCCCATTGCTAGGGCGCGAAAGTTACGTCGGATGAGACCCCCCAGTGAGGACTTGAGCTTCTTTGCCTGGAGCCTGTGCTTCTGAGTGCCCGAATCGTCGCGCATTTCGCTGAGGTCCAGCACCGCCGGTGCCTGATAGGCCCAATGGCGGTCGCGAAGGCATCTCTTGACAGCTTTCAGGTGGCGACTATGCCAATTCTCATGGTCTACAGGCGGCCAGTTATTAAGTGAGCCTCCAAGCTCTACCCAGCCGTCGTACTCGTCGTAGGAGGTGGCAGTTGTGATAAACCCGTCGGAAATCTTGTCGTGGTGGGATGGCTTGTGCCGCGTGGCGGTAGTGAGCCATTCCGAACACTCGCGCTTGTCATGATCGTGTAATAACGATGTGCTGGTATCTTCATCCCTCAAAACCTTCTTCGAATACATCTTCTGGGATTGGTAACTGGGGGAAGGTTTCTTCCGCAAAATATTGCGGACAATCTGCCGTGGGCGAGCATCGTCGTTAGGATGTATGGCAGTGCGCTCGATATCGCACTGCGCCGCTACATGACGTTCAGACCCGTCACTAGTAAAGGGCCTGTACGCTGGGTATCTTCATCTGGTTGACGGCGCCCAGGCCCCCCACTATCGCCTGCATTCCTCGGGCAACTCGAGAGTAACAGCGGGTTGCCCCGCGGGGGCAGCGACTGGTTCGCCATGCATCCTTGCTGGCTTAGACGCTGCAGGCGCTGCGGATGAGCGGGCGCTCCCAGGTGCCTTATCCTTCTCGCCGATGTCGAGGTACTGGCATGGGGCGATCGTGGGGGCCGCTCCTGATGCCTTTGGAGTAGTCTCCAACGCCTTAAAATCCGCGCCGTCCTTTGATGATGCGGCTCCTGTGGATGATCCATCCAGTGGCGGCGCCCAGCTTGATCTGTGAGTCCTGCCAGGCGTCTGGCCGCGCAGGCATGCGGGATCTTTCGGCGTAGGCGCGCTGTCGCCTTGAAGCGCTGCTGCTGTAGCGGCCAGCGCTGGCCCTCTGGGGCGATGTCTCTCGGCGGGTTTCCCCGCGGACCGCTGCGATTTATTGCTGCCAGGATCGGTGTCATCTGGACTGGTCCTCGTCTCCTGCTTAGGCGGTGGCGGTAGCTGGTCATGTTCAACTGACCTTGGTGAACTTGAAGAGTGGGAAGATTGGGATATATCTACTCTCCTCCCTGGTTTCATCTTGGGGGGCGCTTCTTCTGGCTGTTCAGCTGCGGGCGCCCCCGCTGGAGGTTGTGCTGTAGGTTCCCCAGCGCCAGGGGCAGTCCGAGAAACTGGCCTCCGGAGTGCAATGTTCTTGATCTTGGCCCCATGCTTGCAGCCATGATCATATCTATCAACGCCCGCCTTTAATATGACAGGGGTAGTTATCCAACCTATCTTTCTGCATTGTAGGCGACGTTCGTGCCTCGTATCTTCTGTTCTCATTTCGTGTTCATCTATTTTTGTGATAGTCTCGCGGGTATCCTCCGTCTCAGAACTGTGGGGCGATTCGGGCTCGTAGACCGATTTGGGCCCTGTGTCGGACCCGGAAGGGGCGGCCTCGGTGGGGTCCACTGCTTCGGCAAGAACCTCGCGACCAGCCCCTCATCGCCGTCTGGATGGGCAGCGCCATCATGAGCAGAAGAAGCGGGTTGCCCCGCATGTCTCGCATCGCCTGTGCCATGATATTCTCAATTGTATACTTTGAGGCGGTGAGGTATATGTATGTATATATATATATATATATAATATATATATATATATATATATATATATATCAAAGCGCTGCCAAATTCGCCCGATCCGGTTGATCTTTCCCTTATCAATCGGCTGGTAGTCAGCTTCGATCAAATATTCTGCAGGTGGATGATTCGTCGGATCCGGTCACGCATGACGGCCTTCGCGAGGTCCCGTCTTTCAAGGCTGGTGTCTTGGTGCCCTTGCCTCTGTTGGAGCGGGCGA